TAAAAGTACAGAGAAGACATTTTCGCAAATGGTCGTTTTCTATAATTTATTATTTGCACTAAATAATGAACACAATTTGCTGCTTAATATATTCACTAGAGAGGAATGTTCAGAAGTAGACAAAATGCGTCGGGTCCTTAATGGAGCGGACGGGAGGGTCTGTTTACGAAAAGGAAGGGAGGAAGGGTCCGTATTATGATTGATGGAACACTTGGTTGTCAGGTAAGGGTGCATTTGGCTGGTTTATGAACTGCTGATGAGAGCTTTCTTTCGCCTGCAGAGTACATGTACTTCCATTCGTCTGAATGTTACATTAGCCGTTGCCAAGACTCATTGTCTATACGTTTTTTGACAAAGTCCAGCACATGAAATGTTTCTCAGAATGCTCCGTTGGCGTTTATCTACTGTCCACTGCCAACCAGATGCTCTGGGAATGCCAAAGACATTCTCATTTTCGTCTCTAATTCCCACTTTGGTACGTTTTCCCTGTGCCGTCTCTGTAGACGTAGAAGCGTCAGAGATTTTTATACATCCTAACAGAAATAAGCGAATGCACTCACGCCCTTGGACGTGATCTGAACAGTTGCCTTTTCTGGCCTCCGATCGGGATCGACAAAAACCCAACGATATGTTCATGCGAGCAGCATGGGAACGATGAGGACTAATGACTTACTAACCCTTGAAACGCTTGTGATTTTGTATATATATACAGTGCGTGACCTATCTCATGAAATGTTGGCTGAAATTCTGAAATGCGTTTTCAATTGGGAAGAATTACTTGGTCGTGGTTGTGATACAGATTATCTCAAGGCATACTCTTATAACATTTTGAATTCTGCAGGGTGTCGGCTTTTAAATGCACTTCTGTTCAATCCCCTGTAGGAAGCGTGTTCAGTAAAAAATACTACTTAAGTAGCATGCATTTTCCCATTGATTTTCGGTGGTCTTGGAAATTCAAAAATATTTTATAGAAACCACAAACAGAAATATGCTTTCTTTTAGTCAATCAATAGAGAATCACGTCTTCTTTATATTTTATACTTAAGGAAGGAGCATAATTAGGTTTTAAAAGCAAGCTCCACGGCTAAAGCATGAAATATAGTGAAATCTCGGGCTTTCTGTCACAATCTCGGAATAAGGGGACTCGAGGCTTTCAAACACAAATCATGGACGTCGTTCTAACCTAGCGTCTCTAGGCCTGAATGAAAAAAGGCTACCTTTAGATAAAGCGGAACCCAGCCCTTCGTGACCTGCGACTTGTGGCGTGTAGGAATGCAGTATGGCTAACAGTTAGCGAAAAATAGGCCTGAAATGATTAACCAAATCTTCCTTTTAACTACCATTACGATTTTCACAGTACTGATTCTGCCCCACGCTTGCTCATGTGGGTTCTACGGAAGGAGTTCTAAGGCCCACCCGTAATCAGACAGTAGATCCTTGAAAAACACCCCACGTGGACCGTTATTTTAATGGCAAGTATGATATCTATTTTCTTACCAAACTCTTTAAGTTATTAATTTTTCCCGAATTGTTTTCTTTGGCCGAAGTAACCGTAATCAAATATTAAAGAGACGACAATGCGACGCTTCCTCCTTGCTTAAACTTGCTGAGTCTAAACGCCAGGGCGAATAATATGAGTCTTTGCCCTACCAGAAGCAGTTTGAAAATAGTTTATACACCAGTACGATACAGGCTCATGGATGACTAGGACAAAAATCGAATATTGCCATTAAAGATTATAACTTTGCCCGTGCATGAGCATTCGGCATTCAAGCTATTCAGTTGAAAATTTCTAACAGTGTGTTTACTGAGGCCGAAAGAGTGTAAAGGCTGTGGTAGAAATATGGATAGCATAGACTTGCAATCTGGCAGAGAGTGACTGTCCATTGGATTGGAACAATTAATGCATTTAGCAACACCACCTATAGCAGGGGGCGGATGAATAAAATGGATACTGCATACATTCTCAGGGATGCCGTTCAAGAAAAAGCGCCGTAATGCTGGAGTGGTCATTTCCATTAGAAAGGATTTCATTAAACACTTTCCTCCTCACTCAACGAATTCAACGACTGTTTTATTTTAATGAGGTCGTTAATCGATAGTGTGGAAATTGTGTCACCATTACCAGTGTCCACATATCTACAGTGTTAAACATTGACGACATGAAGAGCGTTTGCGAAGACCCGCACACCCGATCGCATCTGGGCCACTGGCGGACAAATCGATCAGCTGCAGGTTATGTCACTTGGAAAGGAGCGACTGGTCACACGAATTAGGCTAATTGTTTTCCTCTGCTGAGTTCACAAGCAGAACACAAATTACGAGCAGCTAGCACCATCTCCTGACT